TCGAAACCGAGTTGCTCACTGAACAAAAAAAATAAAAAAAAAAAAAAAAAAAAAAAGAAATCGCGTTGCGATTGTCGTCGACGAGAGGAGCGAAGGTGGAAACGAGGACGCGATGAAGAAAAACGGGTTAATATGGTGGAAAGTTGTTCGCGACCTTTGACCGATGCCCGCGGCAAGTATAACATATTTTAAGATTTTCTGCCGCGAATTCGAACGCTCCTCGTGAATAGTTGAACAGCCGCGAGATACAGAAAGGTACGGCGATTAAAAATGTAACTAGCTTGAAATTTCTCTGGTTGTTTCAGTATCGAGCGACCGAGAAATCTCTCTCTCTCTCTCTCTCTCTCTCACTCTGTCTCTATCACTCTGGCCCCCTTTGTTATTAATCGTCACCGTTTCAACTGTATCAACTTGACGACGACTCACGTACCTATCGAAGAATCGAGCAAAGTCGCAAACCGACGGCGTTGTTCGTCTAGAGTCTAGAAGCGGTGGAGAGTTTGTTGCACCAGAGTACTCACCTGAAATCAGAAAAAGGAAAAGGAATGACGGTCAGAGTCGTTGCGTAAATGCAAACACCCTCGCGAGAAGCATAGCTTTATAACGTTCGACAAACGAAATTGACTAGCTTGAACTCGTTGGACTGAGTTTTGCTTTACTTTGAGAATGTGCACCGGTGTGCTTAATCACTTCCAGACGATTATTTCACGGTAAATGCACTTTGCAAGATCGAGTCGAGTAGCAACAAAAATTTCAATTAAATTTTCTGTCGGTGTTTGTTTGACAAATTTTTAATTTTCTTTCCTTGTTTTGTTGCCTTGAAATAATATGTATTTCATTATATATAATTATATCATATATGCATCACATTATACATAATTTTTAATTTCTACAAGTCTTGCATCTCAAATTTTACATAAAAAAAAAAAAAAAATAGCAAAAGTGAATTTGTTTCTTCCACACGACGAGTATATACTCGACGTAAACGTTCAACGGGTTAATTTCGGGTTGAGAAAACAACGACTGGAACAAAGATGTTACAGTTCTTGCGTTGCTTTCCCTTCCGATCCTTTCGATCGAACTCGCTCCGCATGAATCGAAGAAGAAATGGCGAGAATGACGACGACGACGACATTTCGGCGGGCTTGCGTCTTTTCGTTTCGACTCGGCGGCAAAAGAAACTGACGGGGCGGCGGGGGAGGAGAGTTGAAGAAAAAAAAAAAAAGAAAAGAGTGGCAAGACTCGAGCACGGCTAGCTCGAGGAAACTTTAAAGATGAATGTTGCAATCACGAAGAGACGGAAGGAGCGGATGGTAGGCGGAGGGTGGCTAAGGGCGAGAGAGAAGGATCGGCGACGCGGGACGCGGTGGCGTGGAGCAAGAGCGCACGGTAGGCAGAAACATACGGGTAAGCGGGCGCGAAGGGTACAGCAGAGCCGCATACTAGGAGGGAGGCCCGTCATAGGGCATGGCGTTCTGGCATAACTCAGAATTGCCTCGCTGCAAGGGTAGAATTGACAGCATAGCACTAACATTGTATGCACCCGCGTTATGTATTTATGTAAATGCATACTCTCTCCCCCATCCGAGGCGAGCGCAACGCCCGCGCGCGCGCGCGCACACACACAAACGCTCGCGCAGTTTCCCTCGCGCGCCCGACTCGCCCCTCGCGTTCCTATCGAAGGCGAGACGAGGCGCGACGCGGCGGGGCAGGCCCACCTTCTCTCTCGTCGTTTGCAACCGGCCGATGGCAAGCTCTTGCACAAACTATACCGTTCGTCGACGGAGATATATTATACGCGTGCACGTAGCAATACGTACAAGTTCCTCTCCTCTCCTCTCCACTCCTCTCGACGCCGGCTCGACTCTCTACTCTAGGTACGCGTGCGTGTGCGTGGAATTTGCGTACGCATACGTAAGGCGCGTGTAATCGTACTGGACCACGAAACGCGCGGGTCCGGCTAACCACCGCGCGTCCAACGAGGACACAGCGGACGCGAACGAGGGAGGATCGAAGGAAGGAGCGAGCGGGCGCAGCTCTCGTCCGAGAGAAAGATGAGAACAGAGACGACCGAAGCGGGCGAGTCCGACCGACCAAAGACAGAAACACGGAGGACGCGGTTGGTGGTGGCGACGGTGGTGATGGCGAGGCCAAAGGACAGAGTACAGGAGATGCAGAGAGTACAGTGTATGGTGCAACGAGAGCGGCCGACGCCACCGACGCCACGTCGTGCGCCACGGCTACACGGCATATATCATACACTGATCACATTAATCAGAGGTTATTGCGCGCATTCCTAATCATCCGGGCCTCTAACTATTCCCAGATTCTGATTGGTGCATTACTCGGCATTTCCGGTATGATTCTGCATTCCAATTGGCCGGCCGCGCCGCACCGCATCTACGAATTTCAATTTGCCCGCTGTCGTTGACCGCTTCTCCTCCTTCTTCGTTTGTATGTGCGTGTGTACATATATATTTATTACGTATCTACATACACCGCGCTCTTTTCTTTTTTTCTGCCGAGCTTCGCAAGCACACCGACCCACAAGTACGCGATCGAAAGAAGAAACGTGTGCAAAGTGAGCACTCGCGCGCGCGCGCGCGCTGGTGTACAAAGTGCAAAGAGAGGGGAAGAAGGATCGTGAAAGTAATTTCGATTTCTGCAATTTCGGCGCGACTTCGATTCTGCCTGCGATAATCACCGAGTAATTAACAATCCCAGTTTCAATTCGGCCGCCGCGGAAAATAGCAAATTCGTAATATCCTACGATATTGCGGCCCTCGTATGGCCTTCATCTCGTGGCCCCCCTGTGCCCACCCACCCACCCCTATGCCGCCGGTGGAAACTCGGTGAGCGAGCATCCGAGTTACACCACCCCCCCGATTTACACCGATACTACACCACTACTACTGCTACACGCCAGAGTACCACGAGCACCAGCAGTCGTCTCTCTTTCTCCCTGTCCCGGCGAGCCTAGCGTTCGCTTCGCGCCTCTAACCCTTGCCGCTGCTTCTCTGTCGTCCGGCACACGCCGCGCGAGAAATCAACCGGTCGTCCGTCTCTCACTCACTCTCTCTCTCTCTCTCTCTCTCTCTCTCAGCCGGCTGTGCGCGCGCGATTCTGCACATTTTCGAATTTCCTATTTGTAAATAAGCAATCACGGGAACGCGGGCCGTTCCGCCGGGGCCGCGCCAGAGAGGTGAGACAATTAATCATTTCAATTAACGGACAATTCGATCTCCAATCGCCGACCGAGAAGAATATTGGAAAGCCGGGGACAAATCGGAAGCGCTCGCCCCTACTCCCTCCGCGCTTGTTTCTTCTCCACCTCCTCCTCCCCCTGTCCCCGTTTCGCTTTACCACCCTACGCAACCCCCGTGTCCCTATTATCCCTTCTCGCGTCCATTCCCGATCGCTCCGTTCGTCCAACGTCGCTTAAATTGTAATTTCGTAATGCGTCGTCGTCGTCGTCGTCGTCGTCGTCGTCGTTGGTGTTGTTCGGGCACACGACGATACGCAACGTTTCGTCAAAACTTCCATTATCTCCGGCAGGCTTCGCCGAGAAGATGCTCGCCGCCGCGTGTTCCATTCATTTCCTCCAGCCCCTCTCGTCAGCCAGCCCGGTCCGTGGAGGACGAAGCCGCAATTATTCGGTTTCGTAGCCCGATCCGACTAATATGTAACATTAACGGAAACGCGATGCAATTTCTTCGACACCGAGTCGACTTTGTCGCAACTTTTCTTCCTTCCCCCTCTGTCCCTCGCTGCACGTTCGAGCGAGTCATCCATCCATCTACCCACCTATTTCGTTAATCACACCGCCGCTGCGAAATCTAAATTGTCCTCGTTCTTGAATTGCCTTGCTCGACGACTCGCTTGCTGTCCCGCCGCCGCCGCCATGGAAACGCGCGAGAGGCCTTGAGGAAGCGGGATCGCGCGAGTGGCAAACGAAGAGAGACTACTTGGAATTGCCGATCGTGGGACGAGTGTTTCACGTAGGTTGAGGCTGTCGCGGGTAGAATTTCGCGGCTCCCGGTTGCAAACGGGGCGACGCGCGCGGTCGTTTCTCGATCAAGAGGAAAGGAAACGCTCGGTCGGCTAAGTGGTTTAAGCCGTTCGAGAATCGCCGTGGCGGCACGGAGGTTCGAAAGTTGCGCGCCCGGCCACGGATTTAACGAGGTTAGCGCCGCGAATTACGTCGCGGTAACGTCCTGATTGAGAAAACTCTCTCTCTCTCTCACTCTTTTTCTTCCTCTGTTGGACGCGGTGCGAGCCAGCAGCCGCGAGACGAGAGATCGAGCCGCCTCGACCACCTCGCCATCAGGGAGAACAAGTCGAACGACTGAAAAATTATAAAGGTCGAGAAGACCAAGACGAAACGAGATAATATAATATCAGCGAAGCTTCGGAGGGTGAGCGTGAAAACGAGGAGAAAGGTAAAAGCGCGAACGAGGAAAACGCGAGAGAGGCAGGTGGGGGAGGAGGGGTTCGGAGTTCTGGGCCGCCGACCGGTTAAACGATAAAAAGGTTAGCGGCCACAATGAGGGCCGCCTTCGCCCGCCACGGAGAACCGGATGGCCGAGAGGAAAGCGAGAAATCAGAGGGACGCGAGAGAAAATAGAAACTGTCGGTAATTCCGCGCGCGAGTTCCGGTACCAACGTGAACAGAGAGAGAGAGAGAGAGAGAGAGAGAAATGAAAGAGTGAAAAGGGTCAGCGGGTAACGCGGACGGTACGCGCCGATGATCGCCGCGGCTCGCGATAATCTCTTTCGTTCGGAGAAACTCGCCGGTTCGCGCGGCGGCCATCTTGCCACCGCCATTTTGGCGAAATCACGACAAAGGTTAAGATATCGAGGGGTTCGATGCACGCGTAAGAAGGGGTGGTTCGCCGAGTCGTGGGACGCCAACCGAGCAGAGACGAAGGGTGGTAAATAGGAAATAAGTGACTGCCGGAGGGAGCAGTGAACGGATTCCGCGGCAATTTCTCGTCTCCGCTCGTCATTGGCGAGAAATTGTCAAATCCCTGCCGCCTCGTTCGTTTCTGTTTCCCCCCTTTGGCACCTCTCTAATCTTCGTTCCCTGCCCGTATCGACAAGTGGACCGTGCGCAGTTCCAAAAATACCCCAAGTAACCGACAATTTCGTAGAAACCGCGAGAACCGAACGATACTCTTCGTCGTTGTTTGACCAGCTTGCGCTGGCAACTGGTTCGCGGACCATAACGAGTGACCCAATCGCGTACAATAATTCGTCGCTTTCTTTTCGAACTCGTCGGTATGATATTGTTGGTTAGAAATTATTGAAAAGTAATAAATTTATTATTTGTTTTACCTAAATGTATAATTTTACTTATTATAACATGTTATGCTATAATATATAATATACAATATGTTATAACATAACCTATGTTATGCTTAATACAACCTATATTCTAGTTAAATACACTGTACATTTAGTGTGTTTATTGTTAAATTATATTTAAGATTAAAGCTGTACTGACTTTTAAATAAAATAAAAT